CCTGTCCCTATCAAAATGCGAAATAAGCTTCATCATCAGATAGAGCAGATCTTATTTCTACAATCAGGCCCTTTAGGAGATAACCCTTTGAGTCATAATTATATCAGCTTCAGTTAAATTATTTATTAATATAAATTTAAAAATGTAGAATAAATATATTGTTATAATAAAATATTACGATGATAACTTTATTCTGCAAAATTAACAAAATACCAGTTATAACTATATTAGATTCTGGTGCTAATTGTAATAATATAGGCAAGAAAGTAGTAAATGGAGTAGGCTTAAAAATCGATGATATCTGTGATGCAGAAATATATAATTTCATTAGCAAGGTCAATGTGTTGGGAATAATTCGTAAAATAGAGATTTCGATTCTGTCTCAAGATTGTAAATGGGAGCAAGTAGTAGTGACTAATGTTTTTGTTACCAATAAACCCAAACTTGAATCTGTACTGATATTGAGTCAATCCTGGTTCCAGGAAAATGTAATGAAACTGGACTTCCCAAATAAAACTCTTATGTTGCTCAATGGAACTAGTTGTAAGGTTAAAATCGAATATCCAGATTATATTGATAATGAATTCTTGAATTATTCTAATGATGAATTCTCTGATTCTGATCTACCTCTATTTATTCCAGATCAATTAATTATAGCAGATCTTATTTTTGCAGTTAGAGAGACTGGTGGGATAATTTCTAATCATTCATTATGATTTACAAGTAATTATATGTAGTAGCGGAGAATGAAATAAAATAATCAGCATAAAATGATAAGTAAATTAGATTAGCTAACCTGTCCAAAACATGGGCATTGATCAGTGCTAGTATAATTTTTTACAAAAATTTCATGTAATTGTTGAGGAGAAACATTGGGAAATAATGGGAACCCCTCTTCAGTGAAATAAAATATTTTTACTCCCTTGTCAATGAATTTCTCTATCAATATACTTGGAACATCTTCTAATGGACCATGAAATTCCTCAAACTTTCGAAGGTTACTCTTGCATTTTTATCGGCTTCTTCTGTCCTTTCTTGATTAGAATAACCAAGAATACTGATTTTTTCCTGAATTGTTACTATATCATCTTCTAAGCATAAAAGCAAATTAAATAATCTAATTGGTTTATCTAAAAAGGCTTTATCCCTTCCAAGTTCTACTTCTAAAATAGTATTGATATCTATACCAAGTTTTTCTTGTATAGATATTAAATTTCTGATCAATTCTAATAACAATTCATATGAATCATCAAGATTTTTTGCTTTCTTGCTCTCTAATACTGCCATTTAATTTATATTACTGTTAATACCAAGTTTTTTCTGAATAGCCATTATATCCTTCTTCTTATATAAAAGCACTTCATATAAAGAAGCAAATTTTTTGCTTTAATTAGTATTATTATTTTTTGGAGAAAACATATTTCGTGTATTAGTGTTATTTGCCATGATTAACTTGAATATATAATACAATAAAAAAATTGGTTTAAATAATTTTAAGAGAATACAATATTTTAAAACGAATAAAATTGGAAGTCCACTGTCCCCTTCTTTATTAATGGGCAGAGCCCAATATCAAAGATATATGAAAAAATTGCCGAACGACAGTTACATTATAAAAATATTGATAAGTTAATGACCACTAAAGCCATAAGTTCTTTCCACTTTTGCTAAAGTTATCGGGTTAATGCCAGTATAGTTCCATAGAAGTGAATAATCGACAATCAAAACCACACTCGATGTCTTTTCTGGCTTTTCTTTTAGACCTTTGAAAGTTTTACTTGTTTTTTTATCAATCTTGGAGTTACTAGAAACATTAGTCTTGCTCTTGGAAGTATTGGATTTATTAGTTTTGTGGTTGATTTTTTTTCCTTCCCTATATAAAAAACAGTAAATGTGAATATGTTTTATATTATTAATTAAATAGTGATATATTGAAATAAGATACATTATTGGGATTAGTAGTAAAAAATGTTATTGAAACCTATCTTATGGAAGAGAAAAAAACCTTGTATTTTATATTGTCCAGAACCATTAGATCTATCCCAAAACCAAGTAATTCTCGTCATTTTTGCGG